GTGAAAAAAACACAGACGCAATCAATCCATCGTCGACTCCCCAGAGAGTATGGGGCAATATGGGAAGTGGGGGGGAGACAAACACCCAGAAGATATATTGGAAAATGTTGGAAGTCCATTTGTGTCCATTTATTTGTGTGTCCCAGGCCCCCTTCACATATCTCGGGAGGCCTTTGATTTTGAGGATCCCCCCAGCATGACCCCTCCCCGTTTCTCCCGGCGGGGGATAAACGCCGCCCCTCCTCGTCCTGTTCTTGCTCCTCCTCCTCCTCCTCGTCGTTGTCGCGCGGCCGGCGCCGCGGCGCAACAGTTCTTTTCCACGATTGGCGGGGCCCAACGTTGGTTTCCAATAAGGGCGTCGAACAGATAATTGGTTTCCAACATTGGGGGGGGTCTACAGACCTATCTCGGTGATTGATACTCTCTCTCTCTCTCTCTCTTCTCTCTCTCTCTCTCTCTCTCTCTCTCCTGACCTTGTGGGGGGGGGGAGGCGCCCTCCTCCCGCACATGGTGATGTTCCTCGCGCAAATGTTGGACTGTCCCATGTTTTGTTTCTGGCCCATCCCTGGGTCTGTTGAAAACGGTGTTCCTCCTGCAGTGTTGGCTACGTGTTCACATTGCCATGGCGTTTCCGCCCAACGGAATGGCCCAATCGTCTCAGCGCTGGTCGTAGCCGTATTCGTCCTCCGCCCGCTCGTCATCCAGTGTGTTGTCTTCCTTCTTCCTTCCGCTCTTGATTCTGCTTAATGGTCGTCGCTCCGCGTGGCCCTTCGTCATCGTCGTCTGGCTGTTGGCTTGTTTTCGTTTCACCCACATACCTTGCTTGACCTTCGGGCCGAAACTGTGTGTTGTGCGATGTGCTGTGTTGTGGTGTGCTCCTGTCGGAGGTCAGATACTACGCGATGCCATGGTGTGTGTCGCTCTGCTGTCCAATGTTGGGCTATGCAATGCCCTGACGTGCTACGCCGCGGCCCGCCACGATATCCCAAGAGATCCAGCGTCATGCAATGGTACGCACTGCTGGGTGATGGCCAGCTGCCCCATGCTGTGCCAGTCAATGTTGCGCAGCGGTGCTACGCCGTGACACTACGTTGCACTCTGATTGCCTCCGCGTGACGTTTTGTTGCGCTGCGCCGTTGTGAGATTGTTTGGGTCCTCTGGCGCGCCACGTTCGGTGCCCAGGGCACCCCTCCCAGGGTTCGGGGCTCCAGAGCCGGGGTTCAATGCAGACGGGTGTCAGCCAGAGCGCCGGATGGTGCAGGATCCTGCAGGGCAAGGGCCGCTTTGGCCCGGGCCTGGGCGCAGGATCCTGCAGGATCCTGCAGGATCCTGCAGAGCCTCACTGGCCCGGGTCTGGCTTGACCCAGCTGAGAAGTTCCCCGACAAGTAGCGTTAAGTCGGGCCTCTCCCCCTTCTGGGGGAATATTCAAAAGCAGTCAAAAAATAGTCTGGGGACTATGTTTTAAAATATTGTTTGACAATATGGGGGCATTTGTTTCGTATTTTCTTTTTGTTTCGTCCAACATCTCCCGGCAGGAGGACAGGCCCGACTTAACAGTAGCGAGGACTGGGGGCCTGCCAGTGCTCGCAGAGGCGCCCTGCTGGCTGGCTCGCTGGCTCACGCGCAGGTCCTTGATCTTCCAGGAGGGCTAAAAAATAGCACGCGACTCAAAAACCCATCCCGGAGCTCTTCTACGTCTTGGTTTCAGGCTGTTTCGTTTCGTGGTTTAGGTTTTTAGGCCTCCCGTTTCGTTTCGGAAAAAATAGCGAACACTCATGCCACATTCATCTGTGAACGCCTCCCCCTCTCCCCAATGTTCAAAGTTGGCGGTGGGTCTGATGAGTTGCACCTCGACCGCAGTCTCCCCCGCGCGTGCCAACTTTGAGTTTGGGGGGCAGGGGGGGTGTTCACCAATTGTTTCCCTCTACCGTACTCTTCGTCTTGGTTTCCGGCCGTTTCGCTTCGTCTTTCTTGGTCTTTGGGCCTCCCGTGCTAAAAAAGTAGCTCTCTGGAGGGTCCGGGTTCCCACACCCCCGACGCCGCGATTTTTTTCTCAGCGTAGGAGGGGGCCCCCGTTGCCGGGCGGGCGTCCACGCCCCAGGCGTTTCCCAGGAGGAGGAGGAGGAGGAGGAGGAGGAGGAGGAGGATGGATCGCCCCGAGCATGTCGAGAGGGTACTTCGCCCAACGGGCCACAGGCGCCCCACCCTGCCCTGAGCGCCACGCCGCTATATACCCGGGGCCTCCGCGGCTCTCTCCCCCCCCCCCTCGGGGCGACGACCGGCACGCCGAGGTCACAAAGCCGGTGGCCTCGAGGCTGACGCCAGCATTGGGGGAACAAAAAGGGACATCAACATAAAAGCTCCTCCTCCTCCTCCTCCTCCTCCTCCTCCTCCCCCTCCTCCTCCTCCCCCACCCTCCTCCTCCTCCTCCTCCTCCTCCTCCTCCTCCTCCTCCTCCTCCTCCTCCTCCCCTCCTCCTCCTCCTCCTCCTCCTCCTCCTCCTCCTCCTCCTCCTCCTCCTCTCCTCCCCCCCCCCCCTCCTCCTCCTCCTCCCCTCCTCCTCCTCCTCCCCCCCCTCCTCCCCCCTCCCCTCCTCCCCCTTCTCCTCCTCCCCCTCCCCTCCTCCCCCTCCTCCTCCTCCGCCTCCTCCGCCGCCTTGTGGAAGGGGAACAAAAAGTGACATAACATAAAAAGGGGTGCGCAGATTTCTCGGATCGGCGCTGGGGCCCCCCGGCGGCGCCTCCGGCGCCGCCCCTGGCGCGTTCCGCGCGCCAGGGAGGGGGGTCCAGCGCCGATCCCAGAAATCCGCGCGGACCTCCGAGTTTTTATGTTTATGTCATCTTTCGTTCCCCTAGTTGACGCCAGCACAAACATCGGCGGTGTGCCTCCACCCAGTGAGGACGTTCCCTACCGCGGTGCGATGGTGGTAATATGTGGGCGTCCTGGATGGCCGAAAGATTACCACCAACACCAAGTTCTAGGATTGTCTTCCCCCGGCGGAGCCACCCCCCCGTGTTGGTGGTGGTGCTCTGGTGCTCATTTCCGAGCCTCCAACACAAGAACATCCTCCATCATAAAAGCACACCCTGATTTGGTGTCGCGCCGAATCGCTTGCGAAGGGTGCGAGCGGGTGCCGGACAGCTCGCGTTAAGCTTCCTTCTGCTTGCTTTCCTCTCCCTCCCTTCCTGTCCGTGGTCTTTCTGCTCCTCCTCCGCCTGCGGCCTTTGCCCCTTCCCAGTCGTCGAGCTTCTCCCCACGGTCTTTGTTCACGGTCATCCCCTTCCTGTTCTCTTTCTCATGCGCCTCCTCCGACTTCGGCGCTGATCCTTCCCTTCCTCGTCGTCGTCCTCGGTGCGATTTCGCTCCCCCTCCGACCGCATGCCCCTTCCCTCTCCTTCCCCTCGGCCTGCTGCGCCGTCCCTTCTGGTTCGCCTCCGCACCCTTCATGCCGCTCCCAGCTCTTAGCGTCCGAAGCCTTGTTCGACAAGTCTGCCTTCTTGGGGTCTATGCCTCCCTCGACATCCGACCCTGCGAACGCAAGAGGGCTCAACGCAACGGCAACACAGGAGAGGGAGGGGCACGATGTCCGATGCGGCGCGAGCGGGCCAGTCTTGCCCGCTTTCTTTCCTCTCTTCCGTGCCCTTCCGCCTCGTTTCCAAATTGCCCCCTTCCCTCTCGCATCCTCGCTTCTCGGCGGCGCGCCGATAGGGGGCGAGCGAGAGGAGGTATAGTCCTTCCGATCGGAGGCGGCACCTGGCCTCCTGAGAGGCCGCCCGTGGCTCTGGAGAAGGCCTGGCAAGCTTCCCCGAAGACCGGAGGCCCTCCGAGCCCACCGAGAGGCCCGCCACCCTGACCTTCCAGGAGGGCTAAAAAATAGCACGCGACTCAAAAGCCTGACCCAGTGCTATTCTACGTCTTGGTTTCAGGCTGTTTCGTTTCGTTTTTTAGGTTTTTAGGCCTCCTGTGCTAAGAAATAGCTCTCTGGAAGGTCAGGGCAGTGGTCCCTTCGGGCGCGCCACCGATGCTTGTCCCAGAGCTCGAGGTTGGACTCGTTGCTGCCCGCGCGGGCCGCCCGCTCCCTCCCTGGTGTGTGCCAGTATTCCGGCTGGCAGCAGTGACATCGCGACGGGAGGTTTGTCCCTATCCTCTGCCTCCAGAGGCCAGGCTTATGTCGGGCCTGTCCCCCTACAGGGGGATTTTCGACGACAAATAAAACAAAAAAGGTCAAACATAGTCAAAAAATAGTCCCCAGACTATTTTTGGAGTACTTTTTTTTGCATTTGTGTTTTTTTATTTTTCGTCGAAAATCCCCCTGTAGGGGGACAGGCCCGACTTAACCCTATCCGCTGCCTCCGGGTGCCAGGCCTCGGGATCGTCAAACAGCGACCTGGGGGGGAAAACCGGTCCCGGCGAAGGGGTGCGGGAAGAAAAAACACACAGGCACAGTTGATCGTCGATCCCCCCGAAAAGGGGAAGACGAAACCCCAGAACATTTTGGAAAAGATGGGGAATCCTGTTACTTGTGTCTGTTTATTTAATCGCTTCGCTCATGCCGCCGGCCCTGGAGCCCTCTTGGGGGCCTCTTGGGGACCTCTTGGGAGTCTCTTGGGGCTCCGATGGCTCCTGGGACCTTGCCGGGGTACTTTTCGTCCGGGGGCCCCCAGGGGCCGCTCCGCGCGCGCGAACTGGAAATATTGTCAACCAGTTGCCGGAGATCTTAGCACGCCTCTGGCCCGTTGGGCCGGCGAGTTTGTGTGTCACAGGGCCCCCTCATACAGTGCCGTTTTTAATACATGCTCCGCGTGCGGATCATGCATTTAAAAGATGCAGGGTTTTTGCATTAATGACAACGATGGGTTCATGCAAACATTTATTCATAATGAATCATATATATTTTTTTTTTTAATGTGTCAAAATCCTATGTATTAAAAACTGCCCTGTACGCTGGGAACAAATCACGGCGTCGGGGGTGTGGGAACGCGGCCCCCCTCCGCAGCAG